GACTGGCTTGTGTGCTATATATATTTCAAACGGTTTCAATATTCTAGCTGTTATTTCAGAGATATTTTTTATATATGGTAGAATGAATTTTCTTGTGGTCTTTGATGATGGTTCCTTGTTGGTGTTGTGATTCGATTTTAAACACTTTTTGATGAAATTGTGCGGATATCCATTCTTTTTGAAGACCGTTAGTAGGTATTTTTCTTCCATTTTTTACAGCGCTGGAGTGCTACAATGTGTTTGAATTCTTTTAAACAACGTCTGCACACGGTTTCTTTTGTGAGTAATTGGGTTATTGCTAGTATAGTTGAGTATTTGATCTGTGTGCGTTGATTTTCTACATACTTGTGTTTCTAAATTTCCTGTGTTAGTTCTCCTGATTAAGACATATGAAAATGGGATTTTGTTGTCTAATTCTTCTTCTCTTGTGAATTTGATATCTTCAAATATGTTGTTTATTAATTTATGGGTATATTCTAAATCATTTCTTTTGATTATTACAAATGTTTCATCACCGTAAAGTACCCAGACTTTTGGTTTAATTATAGGTAGACCTATTAATTCTAATCTTTGCATGACGGCTTCAGCTATTAATCCTGATATGGGTGATCCCATTGGTGTTCCTTTTATTTGTTGATATATTTGAGTACTGAATTGGAAGTATGTTGTAAGGCATAATTCTATGAGTTCTATCCAAGTTGAACATTGCGTTATGTTTTCATCACTATAGAGTAATTGTTGCATGGTTTCTGTTGCTAGTTTTGGACTAATTGAAGTATATAATGCTGTGACATCGAAGGACACCACTATTTCATTGTCATCTACTTGAATGTTTTTGATTTTCTCTAAAAATTGGATTGACGAATTGATAGAATGGTCGCATGATTCTGTTAGGTAATTTAATTTCCTGAAAAGTTCTTTAGATAGAATATGAAGCAAAGAGTTACTAATTTGTGTCAGATTTTTTTTCAGACGACGGATGTGAGTATACGGAAAAACGTTTCGGCGTTTAACGGTGGTGGTAGTCCTTTCAAACAACGTCAGAATCCGAACAAGTTTGATAAGGATTTTGTGTGGTCAGATAAAAAATACAGTTACAGTCTTTTCTCAATTTCTGACTTCTAAATAATTGTGTTATTGTTAAATGTGTAGTGACCCGTTTTATTACTCATCATCGCAGTATACTTTCACTATGTAATTGTACTTTGATTTGTTTATTACTCTAAATCTTGCATGTTAACAATTGATACTTTTTGTACTCGCTCGATTTTTGAATTGTTGATTGCTGCAATAATACACTATCGTATTCCTTCGCAAGTGCCTTTTGAATTACGTTGCGGATGTCGAGTAATCGCAACGTTAGGGCACAATTGTAAAAGCGAGGAAATACTAGAAGATACGTGTACTCTAGTTCAGTCAAAATATAGCAGCAACAAATTGGCGAGCCCGACATAGCTGATTGATGGACTACATCATTTCGAAGTATACACAGTGGAATAAATCATCTTTGCCATCGCATTAACTTTTATAACTTCATAACATTTGGATGTATAATTACTGATATTTCTGCTAAAAGTACCTCCGGACCTGGCGGCACAGCGACTGCTATCCCAGTTCACCCTGATACTCAAGCAGCTGTAGCAGCTGGCTGTTATGCAACACCTCAATTCCAGTTCTCTGTCCTCAAGCTTCAGCATTGTCTACAGGTGTGCAAACACTCTTACAATGGTCTGCAACTCCATTTACTCAAGCCGGTCCTACAACTGTTCAATTACAACAGTTTACCCAATCACCTCAACAACAACAGATTCAAGCACAAGCTCATCACTTACAACCAGCTCAACAGCAAACTTATATCCAACAACATCAGCAACAACCAACAATGATGGCAACTGACGTCTCTGTCAGTGGTCAACCTGGTACTGTAGCTGCACGCTCCTATGCTACTCCCCAGTTTATCATTCTGGCACCAGGAGCTCCATTAAAAGTCATGGCTGTTGGTCCTAACGGTCAGTTGATTCAAGCCACTGGTTTACCACAGTTTATGCCGACTACTTCTGTGGGAATGGCTATCAATCAACTAACTTCTACTCTCCAACCTCAGCAAACATCAATTCAAGTACTCCCCAACGCCGAGTAACAACACCCCAGCAACAACAACAACATACTAACGAACTTCCACTTCCAACCGTGTCAGCAGCAGCTACTGCTGCACTCTTCGCTGGCACAGCCATCTCTTCTTGTACAATTCCACTTGTACAACCAGCTTTCATGGAAATAGAGGTAACTGAATGTTTACCCAAGGCATTCCCATACTTCCTTATTACTATACTATTAACTGTATGTTAAGATATAAATCTATTCTGTAACTCTTTACAATAACAACCTCATTATTATTCTAATAATTTTTCTGGATTTATTGTTACATTTTGCACAACTTTCTAAATATTTCGGTTCGTTTCAAAGTTGTTAACATTTCCTAATATATACAGTTATAATCGAACCTCAGAAAACTTAAAATCCTCAATTCGGTTTTCATACTTTTTTGTCCTTGTAATTTACAATATCATTCCGAATACAGGTAAACTTCATTTACCTGCATTCTACGGAGGGGCTATTGTAGTGACCCGTTTTATTACTCATCATCGCAGTATACTTTCACTATGTAATTGTACTTTGATTTGTTTATTACTCTAAATCTTGCATGTTAACAATTGATACTTTTTGTACTCGCTCGATTTTTGAATTGTTGATTGCTGCAATAATACACTATCGTATTCCTTCGCAAGTGCCTTTTGAATTACGTTGCGGATGTCGAGTAATCGCAACGTTAGGGCACAATTGTAAACGCGAGGAAATACTAGAAGATACGTGTACTCTAGTTCAGTCAAAATATAGCAGCAACAAATGAAAAAAATTGCTAGCCAAGACTTCTTACTAGTCAGCCGAATAAGCCGAAGATGCGAAAAGTCCTTATGAAGTTAACGAAGAAGCCATTGTTCTTTGCTAAAAAAGAAACTGTTAAACTGATTACGTTTGAATGAAATATTATATTATTATTCCCTTGGATCCCGAGTGGAACACAGAGCTTCAAGAACACATCTCTACTTTGTACTATTTGGTGCTGCCCGCTTCAGCTGGGTCCACGACTGCCCATGATCTCTCATCTCCTCCTCTAATTCACACGATCTTTTCCATGTCACCCTCGCACAGACGGCCCACTCGTCGCTTCCCATTGAGATTCCACTCGACGGCCTAGGGCGCGATGTCATTCCATGGTTTCCTCAATGTATGCCTGATCCATCCATCTCCATTTTTCCTACATATTTGTTCAGCAATCGGCTCTTGATTGGTTTGTTTCACTGCAGAGTATCCTGTTGCTAATTCTTTCTGGACATTTGATCTTCAGTGTGGATCGAAGGTAGCTGTTGATAGAAGTCTGCAGTGGCCTGTTGGAAATCCTTTTCGTGACACGCAGTGCAAGTTTCTGACACATATAGAAGGACCGACTTGACATTGGTGTTGAAAATCCGAATCTTGTTCCTTATGCTGAGTGCGGAAGATTTCCAAACTGGTTTTAGGTTGATGAAGGCGTATCTTGCCTTTCCGATTCTAACTAGCTTTGATATCTTCATCCGTGCCGTGTGCCTGTAGTTGAAACGATGCTTCCTAGTCAGATAAGTGAAGGAGGTAACCTCTGTTAAATCTCTCCCGTTGATGGTGACTGATGCTGGTTGTTGTTTTTATTGCTGTCCGTTGGTTATCTTCATCACCTCCGACAGACATAAAAATTAGCTTTATATGAATGAATTGTTTTCATATAGAATAATGGTGTTTTTGATTTTCTTCCATTAAGTATCAGGGTGCACTGTGACTAATGTTATGTATCAAATAGATGTTTTGAGCAAAACGGAATGATGTTCATACTTAGCCAAACCAATTATAAAGATTTTCTACATGGCGTTCATTCATGTACACAGATTAATTATCACAATAGTCGTCAGAGTAAGGTTATATTTTTGAAAGATAAGGGTTATATACACTTTAACATTCTAAGCCTGTTAAATATCTTAATAACTTTGTTTTTACGAGTTGATCACGGATTGATATCAGCTTGGGATGATTTCCAAACTAGGATGAAACAGCTGTCCAGTACTCCCTGGTTTTCAATGGTTCTCTAACAGATATCGATCCGTGATAAACTCGTAAAAACAAATCTAATCCTTACAAACCAACTACTGATAATAACTTTGTAGCAAGTCTGTAAATTTTACCTTCCATAAGCAGACTGTTGCGAATGGTTTGCCACTGGACACTTAAAGTTAACAATTTCACTGATTGAATTTATGGATTAAAACTGAAAGATACAGCTGCACACAACTAAAGAAGACGTCAATCTAAAGAATGAACAATCGCGATCATCATAACGTGAGAGAGGCAAATGAATGAAATACACTGCTGGCATGAAAAAATTTAAGAACTACTACATTATTATGTCGGGGTAGTGAAAACTATACCAATCGGTTTTAATTCTGTATCGTGGTCTAATATATTTCAATCACACAAGAATACCTAAAAACAGCTAATTCCTCATATTCTACAAGTTTTTATAAAGCAAATGAAAATCTTCATTATACCTTCAAGTCTATATCTCTTCATTAGATCAATTTTAAATCCTCCAGGGAATATTAGACGAGAATGACCTAAATCACTGGTAAAGAAAAAAATAAATTATCACATCACCAACCTAATAAAATGAAGCAGTAATTTGTCTGTAAAAAGAAAAAAATACTTATCCACTTTATAAGCTCAAAATAAACAAAGTAGGAAGTTATCTTCAAACTTATTACTTAAAAGTGATTATGTATTAAGATCCTTGTCCAATGAAAATTGATGAGAAAATCTTAAAGATACTTTCTGATTGGTTAACTGTTAATTCAATTTTCCTGACTAATGAATTGCTACTTTAATGACTTTTCCACTGGAAATTCAAATTAAAGATTGATAGATTGGAATAAAGTAAGTGTATCAGAGAATTAACTATAGGTAAGCAATGTTTTAGTTTGAAAATTTTCTAAAATGTATTAAATTTCGCTTGGTTATTGGGAGTTAAAGTTAAGAAGTGAAGTATTCTACCGAGTTTAACATGTCCCGTTGTCTACTAACAATTTTGACAAATCCAAGTTTTGGCCAAGAGAAAGAAGCAAAGTGCTCATTTTGAATATTTCGTGAAATTATTATAGTTTATACTATCACCAGAAAGCTAAGAAGGCATTGTGTTTATCTGGAAACGGAATACACTCAACATAACATTGGAAAGATAAAGACTAGGGCAAGTACTTATTTTCACTAGTAAGTTTTTAAATGCAAACAGAATATTGCAAATAATATTGCATAACCATACAGTATGGTTACCTGAATTCGGAGACTCATAGTCCTGTGTACATTTAAGTGGGTTTCGGAAAGATAAAACTTCATAACAGTTAATTTACGGTGATTTTAGTTATTAACATGTAAGAAATCATCAAAAACAACCAATGAAACACAAAGCAACGTGGATATTGTAAACGGCTTTAAACAGCGATGCCATAGTAACTACTAAGTGTTCAGGAGAATGAGGACATCATGTAAATGAGGAAAAGTGATATTAGGACAAAGTAAAAATATGATGTTATAAAGGTGAACAAGATATTTGGGTCATGTGTCAAATAAGTACAACAGGATTCATTATCTGTGTTCACTCACATAGATTAGATTTAACTATTCTGACTCAGACCAGTCAAATATTTTGTACGGCAATTGGTTCTATATCTATCCATCGATATCCATCCAAACCAAGTTCACTTTTAACAGTTTGAAAAAATTTGGGCATTGGGTATATGATATTCATTATAATAAAGGTTTTTTGTATTTCCCAATGAATGAAAAACACAACGATATTGTTTTTACTGACGTTTCGCTATTTAATGCTAATAGCTTTATCAAAGTATTATTAAACCAGAATTTACAAAACCCACTCAGCTTATATATAACAACTTAATCATCGTTCTTCAGCATGAGGTAATTTTTACTTTGTCATTTTGGCCAGTTGGTAAAGATAACAAAACCAGGTGTAGATTGTTGGATTTGATAAGTGTATAAAATCATCAAAGCAGCATGTGTTTACAAAATGAAATTGTTTATCACATTCGTGTTGATTTTGTCGTTTCATGGGGAGGGTTTTTCTTAACCAGGTCAAATTCTATTTTATTTCATCATTCCTGTTCAGACAATTTGGATACCGTTTGATATGAAGTGATATGATTTTAGATGATCTTTGTGATTTCTGAAATTTTTCTGGATTATTTCAATATTGTCAAAATCAATTTTGTGGCCTGATTCTATAGCGTGGCTGACGATATTTCAAGCTTTTCTAGTTCAACTATATTTCTGGGTGGTCGAACAGATGCTCTACGGTGTTTATTTCTTTTGATTTTGGTTTCTCGCGGTGTTTGTCCGATATATATCACATCACATTCCAAACATTTTATTTTGTAGACACAATTAGATTGAGAATCCTTAGGGATTCGGTCTTTTGTACGGACAAGGTTGTCTTGTAGTGTGTCTGATGCTTTGAAGAAAACTCTGATGTTGTGCTCATTGAGTACTCTTCTGATATCGTCTGAGGTTTCTGACCTATATGGAATGACAACTGTTGAGGCCTATGTCTTCGGAATACGTTTTCGATCAAATCCATACATATTTAAAATCCATATCGTGACTGATGTGTGTTAAATGTCACTGAATGGAACTCATATTTTTACTTGATTGCACTAAGGTGAGTCCTGATAATACGTTTCTACAGAGCATTTCAAATAGGTGAATGCAACGAAGCAGTTAAACTTACAAATATAAGTTGATATGGATATACGAAACTTTCTTCCTGCACTGCATTCCAAACCATAGAAGATGCTAAAATCCTTGAAATAATAGGTAGTATTCTTAGTTCATGATGTAACTGAAGATCTTTTTTGTAATCAGAACTTTGATATTTGGTGGCGAACGTTTCATAACTAGGCGTTGAGATATTTTTAGCACTGTCCTCACTAAAATGTCTCATCTGTGATACTGCTATCAAATCTAAACAGAAAGTTCATTATCGGTAACCTATTTGCTGTAAGTTAAAATTTCTAAGTTTCTACCCTAAACAGCAATATTCACTTTACTGATCACGTGAACATTCATTTGGTCTTAAAGTGTTTCTTAAGTCTTGTTACTTTCTATTCATCATGAATTTTGTATTTTGCACAAGTTTAATTTTTCAGTGCAGTTTGTTCTAAGAACATCAGTAATTAGTCAATGAAAAAATACTCTGACTTGCTATTTTATACACCCTCTCTTTTTTCTAATATTTAATAATAATAATGTAGATTTTTTAGAACTTCTACCACATTCATAATCTGTTTTATTTCAGTAACTGTAACTGATAACCCACTACACAAGTCAATCTTTAGTATGCATCAGTCATCAGATATCCAAAACACATATGGTTATTCGGTTTCTTTAATCCTACATTTAGTTAACTTTACAGACAATTATAAATCTTCAGTTGCATGTAATCTATCGCTCTGTGTATCTTTTCAAGTGATTGCGTTTAGCAATAAAGGAATTATACGTAAAAGGGGAGGTTGCTCGAATTAAAAGCTAATTATTTTTCGTAAGAGTAATCAGGGGTACTCATTTTTTTTGATGTGGTTGTGTTCTCTGAGCTGGATAGTTAATTTGCGAAGCTTTCATCACCCTACTGGGTGACATCTTCAGCGCATACTTCAATTTGAAGTGAGCTTTTAGATTTCTCCACGAGTTTATTAATCATCTCTCCTGGCGACCTTGGACGTGATTGGTTGTTTTTGTGTGTTTTCACACCTTCTAGGTTACTTGTATTGTCAGTCATTGTTTCTTTGACTTGAACTTTGACCCTTTGTGTGTGACTATTCTTTCTTATCGGTTGATAAATTTTGTCTATTTCGATGTGTCTATTGATTGATGATTCACTGGAATGCCAAGCTTCTAAAAATTCTCTAGCATTCTTGTTGTTTCCTCTGTCTAATATTTGAACGTTGTCCCAGTCGAATTGATGCCCGTGGTTGTCTGTATGTAGTGATATGAGGGAGTGGATATCATGTCTTTTGACAGCTAGCTTATGTTCGTGGATACGAAGACGAAGGGGACGTCCACTTTGGCCAATGTAGTGTTTTTCGCAGTTGATACAATCTATTTTGTAGATGATGTTGGTTTTATCTTCCTTCGCTGTTGAGTCTTTTGGTTGACATAGAATTGAGTGGAGTGACTTTGTTGGTTTGTGTACGACGTCAATTCCTAAAGGTTTGAAGAGTCTTGTAGTGATTTCTGAGATGTCCTTTATATATGGTAAGGCGATTTTCTTTGTGCTTTCCTTGGGGGCTTTTGGTTTGATAGGTTGGCTTGGGGGTATATGTCTTTTGATGAAATTCAGTGGATATCCATTCTTTTGGAAGACGTCCATGAGATATTTTTCTTCAATTTTCCTTAAAGTGGGAGTGCTGCAATGAGTCCTGGCTCTCTTGAATAGTGTTTGTATGCAATTCCTCTTGTGTGCTATTGGATTGTTGCTGTTGTAATTCAGGATTTGGTCTGTGTGAGTTGATTTTCTATAGAATTGAGTTTCTAAAACCCCCTGTCGTTGTTCGCTTGACTAAGACGTCCAAAAATGGGATTTGGTTTTCTGATTCCTCTTCTCTTGTGAATTTGATGTCGTTGAAGACGTTGTTTATCAGGTTGTGAGCTTTATCTAACTCGTTTCTTTTGATAATTACAAATGTGTCGTCTACGTAGCGTATCCAAATCTTGGGTTTGATCTTTGGTAGAATTATGTTCTCGAGGCTTTGCATCACTGCTTCTGCAATCAAACCTGATATTGGCGATCCCATAGGTGTTCCTTTGACTTGTTCATATATTTTGGCCGTTGAATTGGAAGTACGTTGTTAGACATAGGTTTAAGCATTCCATCCAACTTGTGTGTTGCATTTTTGATTTTTGTGGAAGGTGTTCGTCGTTGCTAAGTAATTGCTCCATGGTTTCTTTAGCTATTTTTTGTCCGATTGAGGTATACAATGCTGTGACGTCGAAGCATATCATTATCTCTTATTCATCTATTTGAATGCCTCTGATTTTCTCTAGGAATTGGATAGCGGAGTTGATGGAGTGATCACAAGATTCCGTTAGGTGTTTTAGTTTTCTGTATAATTCTTTGGATAAATTGTATGTTGGAGTTCCTGGTAGTGATACAATTGGTCGTAACGGGATATTTGGCTTGTGTATTTTGGGTCTGCCGTGGAATCGGGGTAGGACTGGTCCACTGGATTTCATTCGCCATTGGTCTTGTTTTGTGATTTCTCCTGTTTTGGTAAGCTTGTTTAAGGTCCTTTGGATGCGGTTGTCAAGTGTTTGTATGGTATTTGTTGGGAGTTGTTGATACACATCCTCGTCTTTGAGTAGTTCTTCAGCTTTCTTGGTGTATTCTTCTCTGTCCATGATTACTGTTGTCCTTCCTTTGTCGGCTGGTAGAATGACGATGTCCTTCCTATTTTTCAGCTTTTTGAGGGCCTTTAGTTCTTGAGAGTTGAGTTGTGTGTGTTGTTTTTTCTGTTTTACCATTGGTACAATTGTTTGGCGTATCTCTTCCTGTGTTTCCTCCTTTAAGTTTGATGATTTGAGTAATGATTCAAGGGCAGCGAAGAAATCAGTTTTCGAGGCATCTCCGGTGTTGTAGTTTAATCCTTTTTGTAGTAGTTGTCGTTCCATTTTTGATAGTGGTTGTTCTGATAGGTTGACTACGCAGTCTATGGGTGTATTGTCTGGTTGTTGTTTTCTAATCTTGGCTAGCTTGGTTTTGAGGACTCTTCGTCTTTGTTCTCTGTGTTTTCTACTTGACAATGTAATTGCGGTGATCAGCGTTGACAGGTGTTCCTGATTGAGGGTTTTCTCTAGTTTTTCTTTTTGGACATCTATTATTTGTTGATATTTCT